AGTTCAAAACAACAACAACAACAACAACACAACTAAAAACACACAACTCATCAGTCACCTAATGTCCAAAATGACTTAGAAAATTTTTCCGTATTTAAACATTGAGAAGTGGACTAGACGACAAATGCTTCAAGTTCGGTTCATGCCAATTAGCAAGAATCATAACATTATTGAAAAAGTACACTTGTCCTCAGGGAGGATGCTTCAGAGAATTTACAAGGAGCATGGCTGTATTATCATTTTTTAAAGGAAAAAATAGTGTCTTTGGATAGAAAGAAACAATGTAAAAAATCCCCTTTTTAAAATGCAGAAATAACTCTATTATCAATATGCATTTACATTACTGCCCAAAAGAATGGGTCTGGAAAGACTATTTTCTGTACAGACACTAGTTAATCTCTGTATGAAAAGACAGCATCTGGCATGGGAATAAATGAGGGAGATACTGGTCTGTTAGCACACATAGAGACTTTCTTAAGGCTGATCCAGTGAACGAACCTTTGGATCCAGAAGTATTTCTTCGTTTCTTTTCTTTTCGGTTGAGTTCCTAGCAAAAACTTGAAAGATGAGCTGTTCTCACTTTGCATTTCTCCATTTATGGAGAGGATGGAATAATGACACCAAAAGTACTTTGGTTTTGTTTTTCGTTTTTTCTTTAAAAATAATTTGCTTTCTTTTGCATGCCACAGGACAGATTTCTAGTTTCAAAACAGTGTACATCAAGAACAAAAATATCCCCCCTCCCCAACCATCTTTATTTTCACCAATACAAGAAATCCTTCTGGAAACATAAGTAAGTGACTAAACAGGTTTTGAACCACTGAATCTACAAGTTAATACATAATCTGTTATGGCAGAATAACCAAGAATTTCCCCCAAAGAAAGATTTTAATTTTCCAAATATAAAAGAGTCTAAGAGGATCATAAGTGAACGAACAAAAACCTCATATTCCAGGTTTTGTAGTAAAGATGGAAAACACACTGGCAGCTGAAGAAAGCTGAAACTCTTACTAATAAATAGATCCAAATTAAGAATTTCTACAACATTTCTTTAGAAAACAGAACCAGAATTCCTTTTTTAAAAATGACGATCCTGTGGAATGCCTTTACTTTCATATTCATCTAATAGTATAACAGGAAAACAGACACAAGAATGTTGGTGACAGCTCAACAATGCTGGATGCAGGACGTTTACATGTACACTTTTGTTTAAAAGTCCTACAGGTTTATTGACTAAGGCTAGACAGCAATTCATATGATCCTATTTGGTGCTTTTTCTACCATGGTCCAAGATCATTATATGGATACAGCCAAGGACTGGGCCCCAACTTTCAGGAAAGAGACCACAAAGAAGAAAATCAGGGTGGTTATTTGGTCCCCCCAGTTGATCATTTGTGTCCTGTTACTGGAAAAACAAAAGGTGGAAAACACAGACTGCGACGAGTTAAAGGAGTTGGAAAAAGTCGGTGGAGAGTGGCATGGTCTACAAGTAAGGTCACTGGGCTTGGGATGGCAAGGGCGCTGCACTGAAAGAGCATCCGCGGGACCAAGTACTTATAATGTCTTGTGGTGTCATTCCCTCGACAACTTTAGGATATCTGTATGCAATAATAAATAGATCAGAGTTATGTAATAAGGCAGTGTGTTGAATATGCATTCGTCCTGTGGAACGAACCACCACAGAGAGAGATACGTGATACCATACACATTCTTTAAGTTTTCTTGTGTTTGTTTGATTTGTTTGTTTTCAAGGCTATCCAGGCTAACTCTTCCCGAGGATTTCCTTGGAGAGAAGAGTGGTCCGCTGAGGCTGGTTTGCTTTTAACCTCTCCTTTATCAAGAGATGATGACTGGCTTTAAAGAAAAATAAAGCTGAAGGTTGTTTGATTTTTATTTTTTCCCTTTTGGTTGCATCGTTCTGAGTGTTTTCATATAAACAACAACAAAAAAAATCACAACCAAAAAAAAAAAAAACCAATAGTTTTTGATGCATCCAGTTGTTGTATCCTCAGGATGTTCCAGATGTTTCCAGGTAACTCTGTAGTTTACGAACGGTGGTTTTGTCCAGCGAGCAAAGGTCAAAATCAAATGTTGTATTTGTGATATGAAAGTGTCCAGTTTCTTCTATAAGGTTCACAATCTAGAAGAATAAAGAAGAGAAGTAAGCAATAGACATCAAAAGGAAAAGAGAGAGAGATGAAGGGGGTCAAATATGGAATCAAGTGATTAATATTCTCATTTATAGCAAGAAGGTCCTATACAATTAATGGCACCAAAGAATCAGTCAATTTTTAAGCCAAAGGATTATTAACCCTTTGAAATTCTAAATGAGAGCAGATTACCTATTCTCATTACTCATATCCTTTAAACTGGTTCATGCTTTTAAGCCATCAACAGACTGTTTCACCATATGGGTAGAATTGGGTGGTTTGGGGGAGATATACTTTCAAGACCCCTTTAAAAATTAGTTACTGACTCAATGGACAGTAATTATACTTAGTAGATGTAAGGAAATTCCAGCCTAGAAATAAAACTCCTAATTTAAAAGTATACACGCAACACGCATACACGCATCCATACATATATGGTCATGAACATTTTTCTTAAATTATGGGTGACATTTTTTAAAAATACAAAAACCCATGAAGAAAAAATCTGAAGTCACCTACAATCCCATCCCTTGGAGAACATGGTTAGTGACTGGAAGAAGACTTCAGGGAGCCTGCCAGGGGGTGCTGTAACTGTTTTGTAGTTTGATTTGGGTGCTGGTTATAAAAGATGCATTTACTTTGTTAAAATTCATGTAGTTGTACATTTTGTTATATTTCAACAAAAATGGATAAAAACCTGTATTTATCACTTATAGTCATGTTCAGTTGATTCCCTTGGGTATTTGGGGGTGATACGTTTTATCTACTGAAACAAAGGATGCCTTTGGCTCCCCATTTGGAATAGTTGTACCTCATTTCTTATTGTGTTGGCTCCGACTTTCAGAAAAATTATAAACAAAAGTTGTGACAGAAGTACTGCTGTCTGGTTCTAGCTTTCAGGAGAACGCTTCTAGAATTTCAACTTTAAGAATGATGTTGGTTATTGGTTTGTGAGAATCTTTTATCATGTTACTTGTCTTTCCACCCCTATTTTACTAAGAATTTTATCAGCAATGGGTGCTGTGCCTGGGTGGTGCAAAATTTATTGTGGATAAAATGGGATGGAGGCGGTTAATTACAGTAAGCTTTGTGGGGAGAGAGAAAAATCAGTGTTAGATTGAAAGAAAAAATATTTATGCAGAGAAAACAATAGGCAAACTCTTCCACTTATTTTTAGTTGTCTCTATTACTCGCATTCTGTCACTTACTTCTGATTCTCTTTGGTTCAATAATCTTAAAAAAGAGAATAATTTTAATTATTTAGCCTATTCATCGATGACATTTTAGATTACCTAATTTCAGACTGAAAACAGAAACTTTTGACCTTCTCTTCTTGAAGTTAGTTTTCTTTAAAAAATAGTAATTTGTGAACTATTCCCTATGGGTCAGTGGCTATCAATAGAAAATGTGCTCCCCATTCCTGACATATTTGACTTCCACAGAAGCATAAAAGGCATATTGAGGCTCATCCAATTAGTTGCACAACTCCAGACTGAGCTATTATTGCCTTATTCAATCTCTGAAACTATTACTTACAGATATAACTATGGGTTTAATAATAAAACAAGTTATTTCCACTGCAAAACAATGACAGAGACAACTGCCTACCTAATATCCATTTTCCCATTATTTACTGACAGTAGCTTGATTTTCTGGGAGTGGCAACAGGCCCAGCTCAAACGCTTGCCTCCCCAGACCCACTTGTAGCACTTGGCAGATACTGCTATTTACAATTTGTCAAAAGTCACTGGGCTTTCAGGAAAGTTTTGGCACAGGGTAAGGACAACAGGCCTCTGCCTTTTGCCCTCTGCCTGTCTTCCTGTCTGGAATGAAGATGCAATCCTGGAAGTGTAGTGGCTATATTCCCCTCCAGAGGCTGAATGCAAGATGTGAAAGATGGCAGAGCAGGAAGGCAAGGAGTTTATGTTCTCAGTGGCATCTTTTAAGACATCGCACTGATCTGAAATTACTGACCTCCAGGCCTGTTATTATATGGGGGTGTTTGGGGTGGAGAGAGAACAAGATCTTATTAACACTAAAAGATCTAAAATGGTCCCTCATTTGTTTTATTAGTCAATAGTTACAGAGCTGTGGATAAGTCACACACATATATGTACATACACACAGAGACACATATCCAGCTATGTCCACATACACAAACCTTTTGAGGCAATCAAATACTACATATTTAACATCGATTGATTTGAGTATTTTCCAGAGTAAATTATCTTTTTGCTCCATTGTACAGAAATAGTATAGACTCAGTGAAAATGTGTAAACTTCAGGATAGACACGAATAGCCTCTTCAGAGAACTCTTTCAGGATAGAAACACATAGCCTTTCAATTTATACAATGGAGGCAAATGACAATTATTGCAGAGTGAGATCCCTCTCCCCAGCTAGCTGGCCAGTAGGTAAGTGACAAAGCATTTGGAATAGAGTCCTGAATTTGGCGTATTAATTTCTGACTCTGCTCGCTATTTGAATGGCATTGACAGAACATTCTAACCTCTGAGCCTCAGGTTCCTTATCTGTAAAATGGGACAATGCCACCTGTTCTACCATCATACAAGGTTGTGCAGAGGATCAAATAAGATACGGTAAGTGAAGCTTCTTTATAAACTGTATATTGCTATACAGACCAGGGTAACATGATTACGATTACCATATAAATGTAAACTTATCCTTAATTATCTGGGAGGTGACTACACCTCCATGAATTACCAGATCCAGCGCTTTTTCCTCCTCCCTTCACTGACTGTTGGCCATTTTATTAGCACTGAAACAAATGAAGCAGGGAAAACGCCAGAAGCTAAAACTCAGAATTTTTTTTTTTTTTAATAATTATAAGAAAAGTTTTCAGAGGGGAGGGAAGAAAACAGGGAAAACAGTAAATGAAGGAAACCAGCTGAAATGACAAACTAAAGCCACGATGTGGGGGTAAAAGGAGGACAGCCCTACATTTTCCCTTGAAAATGACAGGTAACTTACCCTTTTAAGAAAATAGCTTTCTGTGACTCAATAGAGCTGCTCACTAATTACTTGACAGTAAGTAGAAAAGAGCAGTAAAAGTACCTTCTAAAAAAAAGCCACTTGATTTTAAAGCAAATAAGCACATTTGCCCACTAGAAAATTCAGCCTAGTCATCTCACATGTATTGGAATATCCTGTAGGTTTCCAGTGCTTCAATCACAGTCCTCTTACTTCCTCCACAACCAGCATGTCCCACCCTGCCTGCAGCCACAAACACACAAAGATATAAGGGGAACTGATCAGTCTAACTAAATGAGCCCCGCATTTTTATGGGAGCCTATAAGAATACATCAAGGCAGATGCAGAGACAGCCTTAAAGCAGTGGTAGTGGCAGCAATTGGGGTGTTCGGGACTATTTGCCAAAGGGAATAGCATTAATGATTTGAATTATTAGAGCATGTACCTAAGTCCTCAATTAAGTAAAGACTGCATAAAGAAAAATAACTGTGTGTTCCTTTCCAGGAATCCTGATAGTTAGAACATCAGAAACACAACGTTAACATGCTTTACTCCAAAAACACAAGCTAAAAACAAAGCTAAAAACAGCTCATTTATCCCTGAAGGCATCACCCTTATTTTCCACGGGAATCCTCTGCTCTGCTGATGCAGTGTGGCTCTACCTCAGTGTTGGTACCCTGCATCACACTGCAACATGAATGCCTCTTCAAAGTATGATAAAAGATAGAGTGACAGAGATAAGAGTAGGCGAAGGCACAAAGTATGCTCTTGGAGTGGAAAGGGAAGAGTATGTAAACTGCTTAACTCATTCTTTAGATGATGGTGGTTGTGAAAACTCTAGTGACAGACTATTTCCCGCCATGTCAGCCTTTTAGGGGGTACCATGCAGGCTGTTTGTTTGTTTTTTAAAAAAACAGGGAATATCCACTTGTTAAATCTGTGACTCT